GTGAGCGAGTGCTTTTATATACGTGTTACGAAGTCTGCCTAATGCATATATTATATATATTTGACACTATATAAACGAACGACCATAACCACAATTCTTCATATTGTTGTTATCTTTACATATATTTTATATTTTTATATACATGTTTTTTTTTTATTTTGATTTTTTTTTTTTAATTTTTTATTTTTTTATTCTTTTTTATTTTTTTTTTTTTTTTTGTTTTTTTAAGATTAGAATGCTTTAGATTATTTAATGTTGATAGAGTGAATCTAAAGCATTTGCGTGCCAGGGAATTTTGTTTTTTTTTTTTGTATATTCTATCTATAATACATAAATAGGCATATAATAAATATATATACATGTATATATATATATATATATATATATATTTATATATATATTTATATATGTATATTTATATTATTTTCTTTAGTAATTTTTATACTTTATTATATGAATGAATTAATTTAAGGTAGCGTAGTATAGATATAGATGGTTTCAATGTAAAAACACAACTGAACTGAGAATATTTTCAACTATGACGAATAAGCAGCCAATACAATCAAATATGTTTTTTTTTTTTTTTTTTTGTTGCATTTATTAGCTGCTTAACAGAGATATCTGTGCTAGTGTGTGCATATGTATATGAATCTCTGAGTATATTGTATAAAGTGGAGAATATTTTTATAGTAAATGACAACGTAACGGACTAAATGACTGACTATCTTGCTTTGCTTGCCTAGCTGACTGGCTATTTCGCCCCTATACGTATTATTACTTAACACAATCTAAGACTGCAAACGAGCAGATTTAGGTTAAATACAGTTGTATCTAAAACAGTCGAAAAATACGCCATGTATGCGTAGAAAAAAGGCTTTCGTGTATAAGTGAGAGCTTAAACGGGAGAACTAAAAAAAAAAAAAAAACAGGCAAAGAGAGACTAAAGTACATTTCTAGAGCTCTCTCTCTCGCTCTCTCTCTCTCTCTCTCTCAAGTTTTGTTCACAATTTATTTATTGGAAATTATTTACTCGCTCCATCTTTCATTCTTTCTCTCTCTCTCTCTCTCTCTCTCTGTCTCTCTCTCTCCCTACATATATATGTGTGTGTATAAGTACGTTTATATGCATATATGTATGTATGCATATGTATATGTTTCTCTACCTTTTCTTCGATATGCAATCAGAGAAATATTGTTATCACTAAATGATTAAGGAATACTTATTAAAACTTATTTGAATTTGAATTTTTGTTACATTTATTTTGTCGCTGAGTTCGTAACACTCGAATAATTTAAAAAGTGATAATACGGTAGAGCTTGCTTTTATTTACATAATAGAATTTTAGTAAAATGACAAAACTAAGAATTTTTTGCTTTTACTTTTCATCTCTTTATTTGAAATGGATGCGAAGAAATGCGAGCTATACAAGTTTTATCTGTAAAATGCTTTTCAATATAAATGCAAATAAATTTTTTTTTATTATTTTTTCGTGTTTTGAAATATTTTAGACTAGAGACTCCATAAAATATAATGCAAATGCATGAAATTCTTATTCATTTTTGCTTAAATTCTTCTTCGAAGGCACAAAATTTGATATTATGATGAAATTATGGAGCTTTTATAGATGAATTAAAATGAATTTAATATTTTGTATTATTTTTTTTTCCTTTTTTTTTTAACTGCCTACTGGGCTGACCGGACTTCTCTATATCAAGAATTTTTTCTTTTAAAAATTGTTTCAGTTTTTGATCTATGCGAACACAAACATCGGAATATACAATATATAGGTATAAGGTATAAAAAAATAGTAGATAGTATTTGTAACAAAGGAAACGAAATGAAATAGTTTACCGTGGAACTGAAAATTTTTAATGAAACCATTGATATTCTTTTTGGTAAAACAGTGATCCGGACAAATAATTTTCAAGTATCTAAAACTAATATTAATGCAAAAAGTAAATTAATAGAATCGTGTCGTCACTTCATCTACCATATTTTATTCATATTTTAAATTTAATAAACTCATTTACAAAGCACACATTCTTACACAAACTAGAGCTACATGATACAAATTCGATAGGATTAATTTCTGTTATGATCCTATATTCACTATGTAATATTTGGAAGAAAGGCGTATGTTGAAGAAAAATTAGAAGCAAATGGCTCATCCTACTCTACAAAATTGTTCACATAAACTTATAATAGCGAAATACTCTTACTCTACTCGAGACATTTTGGCTTGAGGCGTTATATGAGCGACTATTTTGAAGACCTGATCTGATCCAAATCATTGTGATCCTGGAGTCAAAACATGTTGAGTACAAAAATTCAACATACCATCTCAAAAATTGCAATCCGTAGGTTCAACAGCACAATATATAGACGGACAGACGGACAAAAAGACAGAAAGACAGACAAGCTTAATAAAAAGTTGGTGCATCTTAAGCCGTTTCTTCCTTTTACGTACATCTTTACCAATTTAACGTACCATATACCGCAAACCATCTCCATCTCCATCTCCAATAATAAAAAACGAAGTAATCCCGGAATAATTCTTGAAATATTCGATATAACAATGATATATGATGGCTTTGCTGTTATTTAAGTAATTAAAACTTTTTCAAATGCTCTATAGCCAAGACCCGTTCTATGTTATAACTGAATGTGTTCTAGTAAACTGCTTGAGAAGAGCATTTTTTTCTTTAGAAAGTGTGAATGCACATTAAGATATACATATACAAGCGTAATTCGTATAACAAGGTTAATACTTACCGAGCTATATCGAAAATCGTGTTATACGAAATTTTTTTTTTTTATTTATTTAAGTTAAGATATTAAATATAAATTATATATAATTTAAATTTGGGTATTTGATGATCTAAGGTTGCATGAATGCTAATCGATTTTCTAGGAAATCAATTATCAAGCAGCTGGCGACTGGCGAAAAAATGAACAATAATTAGCGGAACATTTAGCAAAAAAGCGATTTAAAAAAAAAAAATGTCGCGATGAAGTTAGGTACTGATAACTTGCTTTTAAAAGTGCGTATAAGCCGAGTATTTGCGGAAGGTACGCTCAACGAGTCAAGAGGACTGTATCGTAATATTGAAACGGACATACGATTATAAGTACAAGTCTATGTAAATAGTTTTCAATAAATATCTTAAGAATTGTAAATAAAATCTACCAAAAAAAAAATCTAACCAAACAACTCAATTGAAAAGCTAGTGAATAAGTATGTGAAAGTTTGCAATAGGGCGGCAGCTTCACGTCACAATATAGTAGAGTATAAGTCAAGGCATGGTGGTATCGAAACTTGCTTTTTTTGTTATAGCAAAGCCCTGTCGCACGAGACATCCAAGCAAATTAAGTCAAGGCAATATGTACCGCGTCACATCGATACCACATATTATATCATAATTATTATATTATAATGTAATTTATATTTAATTGTTACTTTTTGCCAGGACCACATAGGACTATAATAAAAATTTGTACCGTCAAAGACGTTATCGATGCTCGCGTGAGGAATTATCGTTTCGGATTACCTCAACACAAGTGAAGTTAATTTCAAAGTTGATACAAAATATGTATATATATATATATGTATATATAAATATGTAATTCAGTATTACGACGAAATACAAATATGAAAAATATATTCGAAAAATAATAAAACCGATCACAAAATTAATTTTCAATCCAAATTATTTTCATTTTCTCAAAATTGTGAACAACGGCACTTTTTTGAACTCTTATTATAACAAAACCGCGTCGTAATATTCGCAAATTTTATACCGAAAGCCGTGTCATAGCAGGGACGCCTGTATAAAATTTGTAGATAAAAAAACTTTTTGCATTGCATATATTTTTTTCATTATTTACTTATCAGTTTAGATGTGGAAATGGCAAATAAACAAGTACATGTGCATTCTTACACACACACACACACATATATTAAACATTATCGTCGAAATATCTTACACGACTTTGCCTAATGTCTTGCTCTCCTGATCAAATGCCAAACATTATATTTTGTTCCCATCAAGAGACATGCTATTCACTCGGAGAATTTAATATTATTTTTCATCTATTTGCCTCAAAAAAATATTAAACATTTAATTTAACCGGAATGTAGGGGCTTTTACGCGAACGGATCCCGACAATCGACATATACGAGTCAAACTTAATACAATAAATGTCCGATCATTATTATGTGACCCACAAACTCTCATGTTTTTATCATAAGTAATGTAGGGTGTACAAAAAGATTTTTTTATGATTTTTTCAAAAAGTTTGCATAGATGGTACGCTTAGAGAGAGAGAGAGAAATTTTGGCTTGAGGCGTCATATGAAGAACTATCTCGAAGACCTGAACTGAGAATATTATATTCGGTAATGGCCGAACTTTAAAATACAATATTTCATATTTTTATTATTAGAGATTATGAGCGATCAGTAAAACACGATTTTATGTTTACTTTTGAAAATGGAAATGTTGTTAGTCTTTTGTTATGCTGCTGGTGTGTTCTTTAACCGATTTGATCATACCAACGAACAATCAACAACTTGCCTGCAACAACTTTCAATCTAATTTTATCCAAATTTGAAGAGGATATCTTCATTTTGGCGACATTTACAGACAGACGTACATAGATAGATGTCTAGATTCAACAGTCAGGTGAAAGAGTGTTGCATACGTTTGTAGGAAGAATTTTATTCATTGAACTGTTTCGCAAGTTTCTACAGATTTTTTATAAGAGTCTTAAATATGAGACAACTAAAATTGTAACAACAAAAGATTGTAAGGATTCACGTTCCTACGACAACAAAGGGCGACATTAGAATATCCACCGGGCAAAGATTACTATGATGCTGTTACAGGATTTAATTGGTGGACAAATCTTCATTCATTATTTTATCTCTATTAAACATTTGCGCTGGATCATAGCTACATCAAAGCTCATACTGACCTAGTTTGTTAATTATAAAATCACTTTTGAAGTCATTAGGAAAGTTTATATATCTATGTCAATTGCAAAGGAAGTGTTACTCATTCAACACTGACTATGGAACATTAATTTCAGGTAACTTTTGAAATTTTCTCTAACGTATCTCTCCGCAAACACTACTGAAATGCAGACAAGCGTACAATGAAATAATTGTTTTTTTTTTTTTTTGGTTTTTGATACCTGAACTAATACTTCAAACTCACCACCACACTCACCAAAATTCCTTAATAAATAATAATAATTGTTACATTACTTATCCTGTTGAATGGCGAATAAGATCAACGAATTTCATATGCGAAATAAAAAAACACAAATTATGCAGCAGCCAGCTCGCTCGGTAGATGCTTTTAGTACAAAACCATATATTTAATCTTTTATCGTTTTTTTTTTTTTTTTTGGGTATTGTGCATTAAAAGCGTAAAACAGAAACGGAACGTTAAACAATTAAGCACTGTTTAGCTTGATGATGTTGACCTAATTTAGTTAACACAATGCACGCTTAGCTTAACTTTCGGTTTTTTCGTATAACACTAACCGAATAACCGAATAACGGACCAACTAACCAATCAAATAAAAACAAAACAAAAAAACCAATCGATTCATTCACTTAGTTCCACACCATATACACTGTTATAAGCTAAAAAAAAAAAAAAAGTACAGAAATTTACAAAGTCAATTAAATAAATGTATTGGCATACTCACATACGTACATACGTATGTAGCGCATAAACTAGAATATAAGCTTTGAATGAACGCTGTTATATAGTAGAAGAGAATGACGAGGAGGACGAGGAGAAGGAGGACGAGGAGAAGGAGGAAGAAGAGTGGGAGGAGAAGGAGGAGGCTTACATAGTTACAAGTTTGAGAGAAAGCATTAAATCTTCTCTGGCCCCAACTCATGCACTGAATACAAGGCGGGACACGCAAAAAAATTCTATTAACATAAATATAATGCAAAGTACAGTCATTACCTATCAATTTATGACATCCAGTCCAAAAAAGACGCATATAAATCAAATAATTTTGATCTTAAATGCATTAAGAAAATTCTATGCCTCTTCTAATTCTTTTCAAGGTTTTTAAGCATGGCCTATGTGTTCTAGAGCTTTATCAGAAAAAGCTTTAAGTGCTTTCGAACAAAATTTTGTGCTTTTGTTTCTTAGTTATTTATTTCCGCTTTGCACGCATTTTTTACTCATTTGCAAAAAGTATTTCATAGGATAATATCGACAAAGGCACACATTTTGCAAGTAAACTACACAATTTTTATGTTAGCTTAAG